GTGTCCTCTTTTGGAAGGCCAAACAAAGTCAGTCAGTCAGTCACCTTTATTTATATAGCGCTTTTAACAATACAGATTGTGACAAAGCAACTGAACAGCGTTAATTAGGAAAATAGTGTCAATAATGCAAAATGACAATAGTAAACACTCATTTTTCAGTTAAAGACATCAAAGACATCATTAAAGACAAAGTTCATCATTGAATTCAGTGATGTCAACATCCAGCTCAGTTTAAATAATATCTTTGCAATCATGTCAACGATATCGCTGGAAATGAAGTGTCCCCAACTAAGCAAGCCAGAGGCGACAGCGGCAAGGAACCAAAACTCCATCGGTGACAGAATGGAGAAAAAACCTTGGGAGAAACCAGGCTCAGTCGGGGGGCCAGTTCTCCTCTGACCAGACGAACCAGCAGAACGGAAAAATCAATATAAGACGTAATAAAACAGACGATGAACAATATTAACAGCAATTATTATATGATGCAATCAAACTTATAGCAAAATGTGGTAGTTCTGTATGTTGTTTCAGGGTTGGCATCATCTGAGGTCCTCTGAGGGGTTGGCATCATCTCTTCTCAGGTGTTCTGGATCCAGACTGAAGCTTGTGTAAATCCTAGTTACCACGGGATGTTAATCCCATGGCAAAAGACAGAGAAACAAATACAAACATAATTAGCGTAGCTGCTGTTCCAACCAAGGGCGAGACTAGAGGGATAAATCCAGGAAAACAGGCAAATATCAGAAACCAAGAAAACAGACAGGGCAAGACTAGGCTAGGACTGGGAAACTAACGAGGGCTCTGTAAAGTAGCTATCACTGCTGGCGATAAGCACATACAATACTCTGCAGTTTGATAGGAGTCAGATTGAGTGATATATGGTGAATGTGTGATTGGATACAGCTGTGTGCAATCAGTGCTGTATGCAATCAGTGCTGTGTGCAATCAGTACAATAGATGATGGGATATGTAGTCCGGGGTGATGCAACAGTTTGTGTAGTGCGAGAGTTAATGTAATGGAAAGGGTGACCTCTGATGGCAAGCAGACCCCCCCCCCCCCCCCCCCCAGGAGCGGCTTCCAGACGCTCAAACACTTTACGATTCCGGAGGGATGTGGGGCGGAGGAGGAACAGGGGGAGGGATGGAGGACCAGGTCCATGTGGAAGTGGAGGGACCGGGGACTGAGGCAGGACCAGCGGAGCAGAGAGCCAGGGCGGAGCCGGCAGTACAGGTGGAGCTGAAGACCAACAGAGCAGGACAGAAGACCACCACGGCGAAGCAGAGGACCACCAGAGCCAGACAGTAGACCGAGCAGAAGACCACCACGGCGGAGCAGACGGAGCAGGAGACCCCCACGGCGAACCAAACCGATCAGGAGACCATGGCAAAGACTGTAACATAGAGAGAGCATAGACAGACAACACAGACAGAACATTGGGTGTGATAGACAAGGCTGAATGTTCAGAGGCAGCCTCCTTGGCTGGGTCGGGACAGGAGAAAAGTTCATAAATGTCCTCCGTAGCCATGACAGGACAGGCAGAGAGTTCACAGATGGTCTCCGTGGCCGTGACAGGACGGGCAGAGGGTTCACAGACGGCCTGCATAGCCGTGACAGGGCAGGACGAGGATTCACAGACGGCCTCCTTAGCCGTGACAGGACAGGCAGAGAGTTCACCGACGGCCTCCATAGCCGTGACAGGACGGGACGAGAGTTCACAGACGGCCTCCATAGCCGTGACAGGACAGACAAAGAGTTCACTGACGACCTCCTTGGCCGGAACAGAACAGGCAGAGAGTTCATAGATGGCCTCCATAGCCGTTACAGGACAGGAAGTGAGTTCATAAGCGGCCTCCGTGGCCAATTCAGGGTTGGACGTAAGTTCACAGACAGCCTCTGCGGCCGGGTTGAGACAGGACAATTGTTCACAGATGGCCTTCGTGGCCGGTTCAGGACAAGACGAGAGTTCATCAACGGCCTCTGCGGCCGAGTTGACAAAGGACGAGAGTTCAGTAACCATGACAGGCATGACTGGGGATTCAGAAATGGTCTCCTTGACATCCCTCACACTGGATACCAGACTGGGATACCGAAGGACTTACCTTGATAATCTGGGTGCCACAGACAGGACGTGACGTGACTCTGGATGATCAGCTGTGAAGTGACGTGACTCTGGATGATCAGCTGTGAGGTGACGTGACTCTGGGTGATCAGCTGTGAGGTGACGTGATTCTGGGTGATCAGCTGTGAAGTGACGTGACTCTGGGTGATCAGCTGAGATGTGACGAGACTCTGGAAGATCAGCTGAGACGTGACGAGACTCTGGAAGATCAGCTGAGACGTGGCGTGACTCTGGAAGATCAGCTGTGACGTGACTGGACTCATGAAGAACAACTGTGACTTGACTTGGTTCATGAAGATTCAGCTGTGACTTGACTTGACTTATGACAATAAAATGTGACCTGACTTGGTTCATGAAGATAAGCTGTGACTTGACTTGCCTCATGACGATCAACTGTGACTTGACTGGACTCAGGAAGATCAGCTGTGACTTGACTTGACTTGACTTATGACAATAAAATTTGACTTGACTTGGTTCATGAAGATCAACTGTGACTTGACTTGGTTCATGAAGATCAACTGTGACTTGACTTGACTCACGAAGATCAGCTGTGACTTGACTGGACTCACGACGATCAACTGTGACTTGACTTGACTCACGACGATCAGCTGTGACTTGACTTGACTCAGGAAGATCAGCTGTGACTTGACTTGACTCATGGCGATCAACTGTGACTTGACTTGATTCAGGAAGATCAGCGGTAACTGGACTTGACTCATGACGATCAACTGTGACTTGACTTGACTCATTACGATCAATTGTGACTTGACTTGATTCAGGATGGGCAGCTGTGACATAACGGGGTCCTGTTGTGTCCGCCATTTTGTGAGCATGCTCCGCTGTCGCCGCCATTTTGTGAGCGTGCTCTAGTGTGGCCGCCATTTTGCAAATGGGCTCCGCTGTTGCCGCCATCATGCGAGCGCACTCTGCCATTTCACGAGCGGGTTGCATCACCGGGGTAGCGATCAGTAAACTTGAATATCCCGGAGCTTGTGATTGACTAAACTCAGCAGCCACCATTACAGGCACAGACGCGGTATCACGTTCTTCCTCCGCGACACCCACAGTACACAAAGAGCCAACAGTCAATAAAGCATAGTCCATAAAATCACTTAGAGAAGAATGGGGACCCTCACGGATTAATCGTGTCTTTAAAGGTTCATTGATACCCTCACAAAAAAGTCTATGAGCACACAGTCAGGCAGATCAGAAAAATATGCAAGATCTAAATACTCTTGTACATAATCCTTGAGCGCTCGCAAGCCCTGCTCGAGGGTTAATAACAGTCTTGCAGTATCCATACCTGGCCAATGTCCACATGAAAAGCTGCTGGATCCTTGTGTGGCCGAGTATTCTGTAAAGTAGCTATCACTGTTGGCGATAAGCGCATACAATACTCGGCAGTGTGATAGGAGTCAGACTGAGTAATATATAGTGAATGTGTGATTGGATATAGCTGTGTGCAATCAGTGCTGTGTGCAATCAGTACAATGGATGATGGGATATGTAGTTCGGGATGATGCAACAGTTTGTGTAGTGCGAGAGTCAATGTAATGGAAAGGGTGACCTCTGATGGCAAGCAGACGGAAGTTCATGGACCGGATTCGTGACAGATAGGGAGGGGAAAAGATACAAGAGAAGGGTCATGGAAATACAGGAAATAAGATGCAGATCTATTTCTTGTTAAGTTTGAACCATTACTTAAAGTTAAAATTGCATGATGACTCAGATTGTAATGAGAAGAGTGTAGCGGGTAATGAATTCCTTTAATGTCATGATCATATAATAAAACAAGTAATCATGTTTCAATCCACCAGGACACGGTCTCTCTTCTCATTCTTTCCTTTATTTGTTTATTAATTGAAATTTGAATGCCTAGGTTGATCTGTGTAAACTTTAACAGTTCACACAAAAATCTATTATTTTTTCTTAATTATATTAAATATATTTATGTTGAAATGCTTCAGTCACTAGATGTGTAAAATGGTTTCCAGTGTGATAAATAAAAAAACTGTTCTTCACACTTAAGACAGTAAGACTGAGAGAAGAGGAGGAGTTGTGAAATCGAATGGAAAGGTATAAAATAAGGTGAGACAGATGCAAGATTATTGTGAGGAAAGACAGAAGCTGATGAACTGCAATGGCAAGTCTTTGTATCCTATATATATATATATATATATATATATAATTTGTGCTTAATAATCATATTCTTTCACAGGTCAAATCAGGATCTATTGGCGTTCTGTTGACGACTCTCCTTTTTGGGAGTGGAAACTTCTTAATGGAGAGAGGTCATTTTTAATTCATACTAAAATATATTTGTTGAATTTTCATAATTTTATCTATTACGTCACGCACATTTCTTAATGAGCCCCTGATATTAAATAAAGGTAAACCAGGTGTTGTTAAACAAAAAGCAAGTGACCTGCTTTGAGTATGCATTGACAGTATTAGTAGATTAACAAAGTGATAAATTAAAAGTTTGTCTTTTAAACAGGCAAGAAATACTACCCACGTATCAAATTTATAAAATTCTTCGAGCTCAAATATGTGATTCTGTCATTTAGGGTTTGTTGCAGGCCGTACAAATGCCACTGCGCAGTGTTCTATGCCTAAACCGTGTAGTGTGCACGGCTTCACTGACTGGTACAAAGTAGGCAGTGTCTGTGTCAAATACTTCAACAGAGCTCTCAACTTCACTGATGCCGAGGTAGGTTTTTTGTCAATGCAATGTGAAAAAAAATCTATGTAATGTGTAGTCATTAAATGTTCTTCCTTGTTCATATCCAGTTCAGTTGTAGGACCAAAGCCCCTGGTGCACACCTGGTGTCGGTGCATAATAAAAAGCATAATGATTACTTGCTCTGCATTGTGAAAAAATTCAACCCAAAAAACCTGCGCATCTGGCTTGGAGCTTTTGAATTCTTTAAGGTAAAAAGACACAGAAATGTGCTGGTGTTTACAAACAGGGAGAGCAAAGAGAAATGACTGATTTGATGTTATTTCCTGGTTGTCTATGACATGCACGCACTATAGTTTCTCACTAACAACTTATTTTGTCTTTCTTTTTTTCTTCTTTAAAATCTCCTTCTCATTCTCTCAGTCTGGTCAAATTTTTTGGCTTGATGGATCCTACTGGGATTTTCAAATCTGGACACGTGGTGAACCCAACCATATGTACACTGGCACAGAGGAATGTGTGGAGATGAACTGGAAAGGTAAGAACAGAGAGACACTAATGGGTTATAGGATAATCACATTCAATTTTAAGTAAATGTTTTGCTAAATGATTTATTTCAGTGATGTTGTGAGGAATATTTGGTAAGACACACTGCAGAAGGGAGAATAATCTCTTCATTTCACTGTCCCTCATTTTCAGAGATTGGCAAATGGAATGACCACTCTTGTCATATCAAGAAAAACTACATATGTGCCTTCAAACTAAATGCCATCTTGAAACCAGGCTCTGAGGAGATGGAGTAGTTTTATCTGGTATATATCGTCCCATAAAACTTTCTGAATAAAATGATTTTCTCTGCATCAACAAAAAACTTACAATAAAAATAAATAAAATAAAAAACAATTCTTCAAATAGCTTAAAAATGCTAATAAAGAATGTTTGCAATCAAAATTATCAGTTGATTAAATTTTTTTTATTGTTTATCTGTAATGACTACATTTATAAAAATCAAGGTTCCAAAAGGGTGTTTTTGCAGTGATGCCTAGAAGCAGGCGGAGCGTGTGTATGGCTGGGGAAGGCTTAGCCTTCTCCTGGCCACAGGGACTTGGAGCAAAAATGGCACTAAATTGGACAAAGATGCCCCTGCACAAATAAATTAAATCTATTACATCTGTTGCTAACAAAGTGAATATGAATAGACAGTGTCGATTGCGGCATTAAATTAAGATCTGCTCATGTTGCACCGTATTTCATTTTAGGCGTTTTTACAGTGTTGCGCATTTGAACCAATCACACACAATTCTGTTGAGCTTAGGAATGCAATGGCCAATCAGAAGAGCTCAGATGAGTCATCGTTCAAACTCATCAGTTTTGTTGAGTGCGCGCACGTTCGCTGACTGAATTCCGGACTCTTGCAAATTCTCTCATCATAAACAACAAAGCGCAGATGAACATACAATGTAAGTAAGAGATTCATTTCACAGTGTATACAGCTTCAGTGATTATACTTAATGCTTAAACTCGCGATAAATCAATGTTAGTGATAATGTCACTTTCTATATATAATTTATTCGCTGTTTGAATAACCGTGGAAAGGAAACGTTATATAATTATCGATCTCTAACATTTTTATTAAATTGTAATCACGTTAAATACAAACTCAGTCCCATTAAACATTTTTTAGCCTACATGACACCCATGTCTGGTTCTTGCTTAAAAAGACGGGTTTATGATGTTTAATACATTTGGCTGCTTTTAGCCTTACCTTGGAGTTGGTTCACCCTCCGCCTATGCCTAGAAGAACCATTTTTGGTTCCCAAAAGAACCTTTCGGTGAAAAGTTCCTAAATGAAAAATTTTTAAGAACATAAAACCTTTTTCGAATATAAAGAACCTTTTCTGCATTTTTAAAGGTTCCATGGATGTTCAAGGTTCTTCATAGAACCATTGATGCCAATAAAGAACCTTTATTTTTAAGAGTTTATTAATATTTAGGAGACCACAGACCAGGGCCCGTATTCATGAAAAATCTTAGTGCTATGAGTTGCTCCTAGTAACAAAATTCTAAGAAATGTGGGTGTTTCCTCTGATTCAGAAAGCATCTTAACCCTTAAAAGAGGCCTTAAGGTCCAAAATAGTTAGGAGTACGGACGAGGACTATTAAGAGGCATAAGAGTTTCTTTAGCAGTGGAGAAAATGGACAAAACATGAAGAGGGAGAAGAAATGTGTTGCACAATGCATGGCAGTGTGTTAATAAGATGCAACACATTATATCGTGCAAGGATTATGTTTGTGTCCGATCTTATTAGAGACACACTAACACCGTGCAGAAATGCCATAGCGCCAGAAATGGAAGTAATCACTACATTAACTACATGAACATATTTGGCAACTGGAAAAATGCAACTATGCAGCAGTGATGATTTGGGTCTGTCACACCCTTCTATAAGCAATGTGATAACACAAACAATTACAGCACTTTCAGAACCTTATTGTGTCGCTGTTCATTTCCTATAAAATGTGTTAAGTATGACAGCATGGTAAATAAAAAAGAAAGAATATGTATACATATATAATGTGTGTGTGTGACTCTTAAAAGCGCTCTTTTATGTCCTTCTTGGACAACCAACCAATCAATCACAGTTGAGTTGCTCTCAGATTGGTCCTGAATCACTTTTAAGCTAAGACTCCTAGTTAGACATTTTTAAGCTAAATTAGGAGCTCTCTGAGAGGATTCTTAGAATCTTTAAGAATACGGGCCCTGACAGTCATTTTTTATTCCAAAAGAGGGTTTGCACTGGTGCAGGCTGGTAGTAAATCTGGCCCTTAATAATAAACAGCACACTTAGATCACATTTTCACAATTAAATAAATACTGAAGTAAATTAACAACTAATAACTAATGAGTTAATTAATGTGTTTGAAAAAAATTGTATGTTGAACTGCAGTCACTGAAGAAAAATGTATTGCAATGCTGAAAATTCTGCCAAATTTGAACCAATACATTTGTATTAGCTAATTTGTAAAGCAAAATAAAATGATATTATTACATTATAGGTGGTATTTTTAAACAGAAATGTTAATGAGTCTGAAAGGTTAACATCGATTAATTCACGAGTTCGCACGAACATATAATGTGATTGAGCAATTAGTAACATATTTGGCATGCTAAATATGCATTAGCATTAGCATGCCCCCCCAATCTCAAGAATGGGATGAAATTAGATTAGTAGTGAGGTGTTGGGGTGGAGGTGGGATGCTGGAAAACTGTTGTGGAACTGAGGCAAGTTGCACTGCGGCGGAAGTATCACATAAGCGGGGCACTCATTTGATACTAATTTCATCCCAGTATCAAATGAGTGGGGCACTGCGCCGGCAGTATCGAATTAAGCAGGGCACTGCGGCGGCAGTATCAAATGAGCAGGGCACTGCAGCGGCAGCATCAAATTTCATTTAACTGATCAGATTTAGATGGCTTTCTTTGTGTGAAAATTATTGGTCCTGATATAGCTCTTGAAGGCGTCCGATGACCATTGACCGAGAGCTTGGATCTGCTGCTGTGAGAGGCCTTTTTGAGGTGCTGTAAAAATGCGCTTCAGAGAATTTGGCAGTACATGCAACCGCAGACCACGTGTAACCACACCAGCCCAGGACCTCCACATCCAGCATCTTCACCTCCAAGATCGTCTGAGACCAGCCACCCGGACAGCTGCTGCAACAATCGGTTTGCATTAGGGATGTAACAATTACCGTTTGACGATAAATCGTGATAAAATACTCCACGGTTAGTAGTTTCATATTTTAATTATCACTATAACTGTATTTGATTACCGCGATTTGAACAACTGAGGATAAATAAACACTGTCCAGCACAGGGCTCCAGAGTGCGACCAAATGGGTGCATTTTGCGATCACTTTTTCTGCCCGTGCGACTAAATTTTGAGTGCGGTCGCACTGGCGCGACCACCGCATTGTTTAACTCATAAGCACTGCCATATCTGTTGCATATGTGAAACATCAAACGGCAAATGAAACTGAAAGCATAACGAAACCGCGCTACTCGTTTGAACTGCGCAGCGCTTATAGAGTGTAGAGACCGGTTTATACTCGCGGCGTCAGCACGAACGCGAAGGTGCGCACAGCAAAAATGATGCAAATATTGAGGAAAGGATGGATGGTTTTCATGCTAAAGTAAAGTAAAAGACAGCTTCTTAAACCAAAGGTGAACATGTTGGTATTCTTGGGGGGGGGGGGGGGGGGGGGGGGTTTTTTTTTTTTTTTTTTTTTTTTTTTTTTTTTTTTTTTTTTTTTTAATACAGCATGTGGTGTATGCCATGCCTCATCTTATTCGTTTTTGTTAATAAACGTTTTGTAAGCTAGCTTGTCATCTTACTGTTTTATTGTTGTTATGCTTTTAAATTAAGAATAACAATGAATCCATATTTAGTTTAGTCTTAAAAAGTGAAATATGTATAGATGTATACAAATCAGACAATTATCTTTTCTTGTAAAACGTGACACCAAGATCACAAATTCGAAAGTGAAAGCACCCGAAGCCCCGCTTATAACATGACGGGAAACTCCCGTTCACAAAATTTAAATCACAAATAATACTGATGAAAAAGAAGGGGTTGAATATTAACCATTTTCGTTCATATAACTATAAACTATGATAAAAGTTAATCAGCATGCATTGATTAATCCCTAAAAATAAAAATATTGCGACCAAATCATGTGCTGGTGTGACTAACTGAGAAAGTTAGTCACAAAAGAGCGAGCAGTGGGAAGAATGAGTCTGGAGCCCTGAAGCATAAAACACAGTTTTATTACATTAGATATTTGACATTTACATTAGATATTTGAACATGCTATTAGATAAACTGTTGACAGTCATGTTGTCATTTAAAATCCGGACATCATTGGCAATGTTATTGTTTTAGTTAAAACTCATTTTATTTGTTGTTTGTTGATTTTAAATGTAAAACTTGGTGACATGATTTGTGTGTCAGTACTTTTTGAACATTTCCAGCACATTTTAAAAATACCGTGATAATACTGATAACCGTGATCATTTTGGTCACTATAGTCGTGATAAGAAATGTTCATACCTTTACATCCCTAGTTACATAACCAAAGAATTTCTGCACAAACTGTCAGAAACCGTCTCAGGGAAGCTCATCTGCATGCTCGTCGTCCTCATCGGGGTCTCGACCTGACTGCAGTTCATCGTCGTAACCGACTTGAGTGGGCAAATGCTCACATTCGATGGCGTCTGGCACTTTGGAGAGGTGTTCTCTTCACGGATGAATCCCGGTTTTCACTGTACAGGGCAGATGGCAGACAGCCTGTATGGCGTCGTGTGGGTGAGCGGTTTGCTGATGTCAACGTTGTGGATCGAGTGGCCCATGGTGGCGGTGGGGTTATGGTATGGGCAGGCGTATGTCATGGACAACGAACATAGGTGCATTTTATTGATGGCATTTTGAATGCACAGAGATACCGTGACGAGATCCTGAGGCCCATTGTTGTGCCATTCATCCA